TTCCTGCTATCGTGGTGCAGGAATATCCGACACAACAGCATGCGAATTCTCCATTGTACAGCTCAAGTTTGATTTATGCAGGAAGACTTGTTGTGCATCTTTTTACCAGCAACGATTTACTGCCAAGCAGAGTAAAATATTTAGGCTGAAATTTGCATTTGTCATCAAATGTGTTAGCTCATATTTCCATATCCTATTTGTTTTTTGACTACTAATTACATGTACATTTCTATAAAAATAGTAACTTCATTTTTCAGATTTTAGTATAAAAGTCAAGAAGGTGAAATTAATTAAAGTGGTCAATTATTTTCACAATCTGTAAGATGGTCTCCTTCTGTTACAGAAGGAGTGTTGCATGGCTTTAATCATTCCTCCTGGTCTTTCTGCCAGCAGGCTGTCATTTCTGGATGGAAGTCAAGCAGACATTGCAAAAATTGATATGCTGCTTCTCAAGGTTTTAACTGTTGAAATGAGGAATACTGGCTGCATTCAGGTTATCCTGCCGTATTATTTGCATCCCCACAGTGCAGTGTGCATTCTCTGCAAAAAACAAAGGGATGTATTTTTGGAAAACGTTATCTGCATATTTTTACTGACTATGCCAAAAGCTAGCAAAAAGGATTAGCATTCATCCCCAGCAGTTCAGCCATTCTGGGCAGCTGCCAAAATTACACATCTCAAAGTCTGAGCAGACTAACCTTCCTCATCCTGCAGAAATTCCAGTAGTTCCATTTCTTTTCTTTGTGACACTTAAAAGTGTGTTTTGCAGAGCAGTGACTTACAGCCCTAATTCCCTTCCGTGAGACTCAAGCCTTCAAGAGAAGAGGAAAAGGATGCCGCCTTCTACACACACACACACCCTCCCCACAACTTCTGTGTTTCTCTTAATCATAGGAAAAATAAAACGATCGGGTAATTTTAAACCAAAAAGTTCACGCCTAGCAGAAGGAAATTAACCCCAGACCAATAGTAAGGGTCCTGCTAACCATGAGTATCACATTCTTAACCTCAGAGCACGTTTCTCTCACCCACTACCAAGCCGATTAACCTCATTTAACAGCTAAAAATGCCAATCTTAACTTTCTTGTCACACTTAAACCTTAGACTATTTGTAGCGAAGAGACACAGATGGGAAGGTAGAGGATGACCATGGAGCTGAGGTTTAATTCTCCATTTAAACTTCCAAGAAGTGAGACAACAGAAAGCTTACTCATTCATATGATCACCCTGTACTTGCTGTAACACACAAGACTTTAAAAGGGACCTTGGCAGCTGTGCTACTAAACACTCCAACAAAGGTAGTGGTAAGGGGTCAGCATGCCACTATGAAGATGGCTAACTAAGGCTCCAATGTCTTTAATATTCAACATACTCTAAATTATTCCCCCAGTAATCAATATCTTTCTCTTCAGTTACCATATAAAAGCACAAGACTTAGTCTTCCACAAGTCTTAATCCCAGCAGGCTGTGGGTGCCCTCTGCTCCTTAGCAAACAGAACCAGTGACACCACTTGCTTAAAACGTTGACGAAAGGGACCAAAGGCTGGTGCTCCCTTCATCTCGAGGAAGGGGGAAACACCGCTTGATTCATCACCTCCGCAGCAGAAGTGGAACAGACAGGTAACTCTTTTGCTGGATCTTTGCTGGTAACTCCTTTGCTTCTCCTTTCTCCTAACAGGAGGAGAAGCAGCGGCAGGAATGACCTGGGCTATAACACCCACAAGGGAAATGGCTGTACGCACGATAGGCTAAAAACCCCACCAGTCTCCACGTATTCGCTGTGGGATATTAACCAGCCAGCTGCTCCTGCTGCTCTCACATACACTCATTTCTTGGCTCAGATGCATCAATTGCTATGATTTCCAGCTGTATCCAAAAATCTTTTTTTCTGACCCAGAAAGGCAAGCGTTGCCATCTAAATCTACCAGACTTCAGGGTTTCTTATTATATTTTCAATTATTTCTTTTTAAAAGAAAAAAAAAAAAGCAGCAATATGAATTTCAAATCTAACCAAGCTTTTTTCTTTCTTTCCCACTTTCCAAGGATGTTTTAGTTCCAACTCCCACCTATCCACCCCCCAGTAAAGGGCTAGTCTGAATTTTGGAAGCTATGGATCTATTCCCCTTTTACCAGATGTGACGCATTACATTCCAGCAGCATTCAGTCATTGCAGCTTCAGGCCCCAAAGTACTTCTGCAGTCATGTCTTACATAGCTTAGAGGAGAACAAAGGATGCTGGCTTTCTTTAACGGGAATAGCTACGTTACAAGGATATTAGACAAACAAAACACATGAATAGTCAGCTAGGATTAACATTGCTTAAAGCGGTGTTCTCTGTAAAGCTGAGTCACACCGCAAACTTACGTGTTTCCCTTCAAATTGGAAGAGTAGCTACCAGTTCACAGATACTAACATCTTCTACACCGATGGACACATCTCAAGAACTGGATAATGTCCCTTAAAAAGCTTCTTTAAGTTTTCAAGCCTTAACGTTCATAAAATTAAGCTGCACAGTCTATGTTGACACAAGCAGCTTCAAATCACCTTCCTGCTCCCTGAATACCTGCATCAACAAACAGGAGCAGCTTCCTTCTCTCCCAGTATCATCAAGTTTAGGAATACAGACCAGTGAAGAAAATCACCTACTGGAGCAGATTCACAGAACCTCCTTAGAACAGAAAGCTAGTTTTAGAGAAGTTTGCCTTTCCAAAAATTGTTCAGTAATTTTCTTTTTAAAACCCAGGATTTTAGATGCGAGTATGGCATTTATTTAAGCAACAGACAACATGCTTACAAAATAGCCCAGATACAAACCTACTGTTTTAATTATAGTTTTGCTCAAGGCAGAAAGGCACAAGTAAACCAGCTGATAGATAACGATGATGCCTGATGGCATCAGCAGCACTATTTCTTTCATTAAAAATACCCCCCCCCCAAGGAAGCAAATATTCCTCAAATAACATTTAATGACAATACATTTTTTCCATAAGAAAAAACTCTTTAGGAAGCCAAGACTCTTCTTCATGGTATGCAGAAAAGAAAACCACGGAATAGAACAGCAGAAAACATTTACAGCAGTCTAAGCTTCTCCCCCGCCATTCTCTCAGGTACTGACTCTGAAGCTTTTCATTCCGCTTCATTACTGTTGGAGTGTCTGCCCACCAGTTAGTGGGGAGAAAAGTAACAGAAAGGGAAACCTGATAGTTCTTGAGTGCTTAAGTCCGCAACAGGAAACAAAAGTGTTAGTTTGGACAATGACTGTAAAATGCACACGAAAATATTAACAGCTAACGATTCCTGAAAACATAAACAAACTGAACGGATGAACTGTCAGTGCTACTTTAGGGAACAGCATTTT